TGTGAAGGAAACAAACGTGATTCCTTCTACACACTGGCGTGCACGTAAACAAACACCTATCGGATTTCCGTTGCTACTCGGGAAAAATGCCCCCGTTACACAATGCCTGGTGTATGCCGGTCTTCATTATCCCGGTTGGAGCAGACAGGTTTCAGATGATGCGAAAGAAAAGGCCGAGTGAAAATTCATTGCGGATCAAACCGAAACGAAATAAAGATACATAATAGACCATACTGCATTCTGTTTTATTCAGATTACAATGTGGACTATATGTAATTAAATAAGTATTTGGGTGTTCCATGCACATTTTAACAACCCTTTGTATCTGAATCTATCAATCAATGGTTTCCATGTGTTTGTGTGTTCACAGCCCATTTTAGCAACCGGCGTGTGGTTCCGCGTTGTCAGCGGTGTAGGACAGAGGGACTACGTTTAGTCGTTGGGATGGGAAGAAAACCCTAGGCCCCGTGTCCACATTGGCGTGCACCTAAAAGAACCGTTGACAGTTGGAATTCGATATAAGAGTAGGCCATGGCGCCGTGGGCAAAGTTTCCCTCGTAGCACAATGTTTGGCGTATGCAGAGCATTAGGACGTTAAACTCCATTTCATTTCAATTTGAGTGGAACGATTCTGAAATAGCTCGATATTGGCGCACCAATATTATATCTAACTATACGGTTGCGTCATCAATGAAATAACGTAAAACGCTAGTCGATTCGTTCAAGAACATAATTGAAATTAATACATTGTTTTCACTGTATCCTATGGCGCTTATCACTATAAAATTATAAAGAACAAAAACTATATCTACCCTTTAAGACAGGCATGTATAAGACGCACATTATATAACTCAACTGACATCCTAAAAGGCCCCGTGAAAAATTATCCACATTAGCATAGTTCGAAGTGCTTGTAGCATAAATCAGGGAATATTACATCCTTGTTGATGTCACGATATGTAAATTAGAATTTAGATGTGACGTCAAAGGAATTAAAATCGCACACAAAAGTCAATACTTCCTTCTTACGTGTGAACAGTTGCAATTATCATACGCGCTAAGACTAATGAACAGCAAATCTTTGAAAACATTTTCTGGTATATGTATGTAAATTTACAAATAGTTTACGATAATGCAATGGGTTAATGAAGACTTTTCGGCAAAGCAATACTATGTTTGGTTTTTTTCCCAAAGATATCAGACAGAAATTAAATCCTCGGCAATGTATTTCGTGGTGATTGGCAGTCAAATCATACAACCTGCAATGTCAAGTTTGTGAAAATACATAGTTTTCCATGGAGTGGGCCATGCCTTCTGTGAGTCTTGGGCATTTCACAGCGAACCAACTGCATTATTTTGTCTAAATCTGCAGGTAAATGAAATAGAGTTTAACGTCCTACTTTCTGCACCTACTGGTGAGGTGTGTGTGTGGGGGGTGGGGTAAACCCCTGAACTAAACAACAAGTGCAGTCCGTACGATAATAATGTGATAGCGAGCTTACCCGATCACTTTATATAATCGAAAAATTTAACGGTGATGTAAGGGAAAAATAATTATTTCGTCTAAATCTGGAGGTAAATGAAATGGGGTTTGACGTCCTACTCTTCTGCACCTACTGGGGTGGGGGTGGGGTAAACTCAAGTACTAAGCACCAAGTGATAGCGAGTTTACCCGATCACTTTATATAATCGGAAAATCAACAGTGATGGAAGGGAAAAAGAGTAATTATAGGTTTTGATAAATAACGATCACCCATTTCAATGTGTTTCGTAGCACTTAAGAAATTACAATTTGTAGTCAATTACACGCAGTAGTAAATCAAAACGCCATGTTCATTGTTCTTTCAATGTGAAGACAATGTTGTTCATAACTCATTGTTAGTCGCTTTTAAAAATATTAAAGCTATAAGCTTCGGATTATATTCGCCATATCACGCACGATCGCCATTATTTCTAATGTAAAGAGCTTATATATTGAAATATTGCTTCACGGATATTCAATTGAGTTTGAAAGGTAACCGACACTCATCCGGATTAAACAAATAGAGAATGTGGTGGGCTATACGTTCTATTGTTCCGAGTTCCATCACATGTCTCGCAATATTATGGGTTTATTCTTATCACCTAAAAAGGTTTGATAAAGTCACGGCGGATGAAAATGAGGTGGTTTTGATAGATGGTGTCACCCTGTATTGAAATCCCGATGTATTATAATAACGTTTCCAGAAAAATCAGACAAGACGTAGCATTGCAACCCTAAGTTTCAGTTGATATCCAATTTGTATAGAAAAGCGTTAAAGGGTTTGAATCCGCAGTCCAATCAAAATTATACTAACATTTCCTTCCGTTATTGTCCGTTTGTTTCCGCCATTTCTTTATTGTGCCCTTTCAGTAGACTTCAGTTCACTCCCCAAAACAAAATCCTTGTATGCTTTGAAATAGGGGTTGGTTGGCCGAGTGTTCATGTCATTGTATCATCAAGTAGCTTGATTTCAATCCCAAGCTTGTACGTGACCAGACGTGGGGACGCCTGGTCATCTTTCTAGGTTCCCTGTTTCCTCCCACCGCTAAAGAACCATGCGCGAAAGCGAATTTTTTAAATAAAATTGAAAATGTGAGTCCCTAATTGACCTAGTTTGTGTTTGAATATACAATCAGTCATAGAGAAAATGGGAAATCATTGTCACATTCGTGTTTATTTAGACTTGTGGTTAAAGCATACCTAACATGGTCGGTTTCCCCACAGGTTGAACCAATCGGCAAACCTCGGAAGAGTCCGTTACACTAGATGTAGGGCACTGGAATCTGCTGACTTTTCCCGAGTGTAGGTATTGAACCATTTCTTCCAACTACCAAAAAAGCGTATGTTTACAAGCGAATTCTTGAATAAGAGAATTGTTTTATGGCGTAGAAGCGCTAATGTGTTTTAAATCCCGTTTTCTTCCTTCTTTTCAACTGTCTTCTAGGGTAGGAGACATTTCCCATTAATTATAATATGAACTTTATACACGCACAGTCAGACAGCATGTATGATGTTATTCGTTGTACTAGAACTGGAGACAGTTTAATTACGGGTAACCGAGACTGCAACTTATTTATCACCAATAACACATTCTACACAGATATCGCTTGTGTGATAAATTTCATATTCTACTGAGGGATATCTACAGTGTAGATATCGCTTTGCATGAATTTGGTTTCTGCCGAAAAAATTATATTTATTTATATATGCGTGTAAAAAAGGGTTGGGTGATAAATAAAAACTTCTACTCTTCTTTTTTTATATCAAAAAATGCCATCACTCGTCGACAATATAAAAAAAATAAATAAATCGGCAAAAGCCTCGCTTCTATTTACATTGCCATGTGTTGATATTTTTTGATATAACAAAAAAGACGAGTAGAAGACTCTCTATATATCTTCCACTGAATTTATTGTGATTTGCTTTAAACGCACGTATTTAGTACTATGAGATATTAACGATTTATATAGATACCACACACTTCCTTCTACTTAGACATAAGGACCGGTGCAGGAAGATTTGTCTAAACATAATTAGTCAAGTTAAATGCTTTGTTTGCACCAGAACTACGTATTTCAAGATAGTAAAAATTGTATACTGCTTCACGTGCTCCTTTCACCTTGACCGTCTTCCTGATTTCCTGGAAACAAATGTTTAATGTATTAGTTTTAATATTTGCAGTCGCGGAATACTTTCTGGTTTAATATTAGGCGCCCCCCCCCCCCCCACACACACACAATCCCCGCCCGGTGTACCCACATCCTTTCGATGGGGGGGGGGGGGGTCTGTGTCCCTCTCCACTCCTAATTTATATATGAGGAAAATATTATGGTAAACTCACCAAAGCTTTAGACCGGAGTCGTTTATTTGGGTTGTTAGATATCTTTCTGCGTAGATTTTAGGCTCATGGAGATTGGGGGGATGGCTTGGGAGGGGCTTCCTATAGTATATGAGCTAATAATTATGAAAAGACTTATGGCTTATAATAATAATAAAGAACTGGTGCTGCTGAAGATAGTTACGTTCCGATAATAAAAACATGATGCAATGGGGTAAATAAATTCTCTGCGTTATATATATTAGACACACTACATAACCACGCGTCAGTCTACAAATGGCATAATAATATAAATTTCCATACAGATACATAGTTTCAATTTCAATAACATAATATCTACATAAGCAAGTGCTAATCTATAAATGATCTAATATTATAATTTCCATACCGATACATAATTTCAATAACATACTATCTAAATAGATCATTACTGTCAATTACTCGTGACCCATCGTTAAATCTTAATCCAAGCTTAAAATTACTGCACACAAGAAGCTTACAAACAATACAATAATTTAAGTTTAATAAAAAAAAAAAAATAAGAAGAATATATCTTCAAGCTGATATTATTACTCCCACTAAATGTAATTTCGTGATCAATTATAAGACGTGTTCAATTTTTTAAAAAAAAAGGTACACGAGTTTCATTAATAAGTATAGACTAATAGTCTCCTCGCATAATTTTTCTTCAATAAGAATGTTCTTGTTGCCTACATATAATCAATGAAATTAACAGCAACTGGTACTCAACCCACTCGATCTGTGATCTCATTAACTAACAACCATTGGCTTATTGTCCAACCAGTAGGCAATTAGACAATAGCGTTCATGCTGCTCGCATATTATACTACAGCTAGCTTGTCGTGTCGTGACGATACGAAGTGCCTGTAATGCGAGACTAAGCCGATAGGCGATAACTGATGACCTAAAATTCACAATGCGCATATCTCTGCGCAGCTTCACGCGCTAAACAGGTCAGTATGTCAGTATCACAGTGTGTCAGTGGGCCGAACGGTGCAGATCTTACCGGTTTGACCCTATTAGTGACGTGACGTATCGAGGACAAAACAGACTGATTTTTAATGCGACGTGCATTCAGACAGTGGCATTCGCGGAATAAGAAGTCGAGTAAGGTGGATGTGTAGCACCTTGTTCACAGTTATATAATACTATAGAAGACTACGAGTATATAGTAACGCCAATATATCTGACAAGAACTTGATGTAATCTAGATCACAGTTGGTGTCGACGTCCTTGAGAGTTTTGTCGAAGCGACCCAGGCTAACATTGAACCACCAGCCAGAAGTTTTTAGGATTTACCGCGGCACATGTCTATGTTGGGGTAGTGGCTCACAAATTGTTTTAACTGTTATTTTGTGGGATTATAAATGCTTCTCGCTGACGAGTACCATCCTGCCTCCGGTCCTCAATCACATCATTTTGGTGAGTTGTAATTATTTTTTTTTTTAAGTCTGTGTACGTTGTTACTTATAATATAAATGCTGTTAATGTTTATAAACAGTTCTAATTTTTCCTCAAATCATTTTTATTTCCACCGCATTATATTCATATCTGCTCATCATAAAATGAGATTGGACAAATATCTAGTAAACAAACTAGGCCCTATACCAAGGTGGGTTATATTAAGTAAACATCTTTCCACCAAGTAGGCCTTTAGACTTGGGTATATGAAATAAGATTAAAATTTGTATTAGGGAGTTTTAAGTACATGTATACTATAATGCATGCTGTACTAGCCTGGATTCCTGGTAGTGTAAATATAAGAATTTCAGTTCAGTGAATATATAAACAAAGTACCATATCCTTGGTAGTAAGCGTCACAGCAAGTCTTTTGACTAGAATGTCTGGGTCAAATCCCACAGTGGGCCGAGCAGATCCTCTAAAATTTTTCGAGTCTGGCCTTCAGATATTTTTTGTATATATATATGTTGTGTACAGAGGTAGAAGATTTCAGAAAACCACAAATAACTACTAACTAATGGGCCGTACATTGAGATATCTCGCTAGGATTAAAATAACTACTCGCATTTACATATTTATTATATGTTATCGACAATATCTTTACAGGAAAATAGTTAAAAGTAAAAACACAGTAATTACAAGTACATGTAGACGTGAACATACATGTATGTGTAGGCTTGAACATACTGTACATGTACAAAGAAACATGTATGTTTATTGCATAGTACATGTATTCATTTTTAAGAAAGGTGTAATGTGGTAATTACTATACCATAGAATAAGGAACAGATAGTTTTCTGGCTGATGTATATTACGTAATTTTTATGTGAAATGAGGATATATGCCTGCCAGTTGTTATTAATGTTTTTAGGGTTAATACATGTACATTTCATCTTGTTTAAAAATTCATATGTCAATGTCAACATTTAACATCTACATGTATAGGTTTATTTTATTTATTATGAATCATAACTTCTATTTTATTTGGATTGCTGTGTGTTAACACTGTATGTTATTGATTTTATATAAATATTTCTAATGTGATATTCAGTTGGCCTTTAATAAGAGAAGTATACTATAGCTTTAAGCATTTATAAGCATTCTCAGATTGAATTGTAAAAACAGTATCATTAATAATACATTTATGTAAATTAGGCGTGATTAATTTCAAATAATAGAAAAAAAGATGGGTTTCTTATCTGAATGGAAAGTCGAATTCACTATGATTTCATATTAAGACCATCGCACCTACTACTGTAAAAAGTCAGGAATGCCCTATAGTCTTATGATAACCATTTGCAACTACATGTAATGACGTACTCTGTATAATGCTGGATTCAGTCTTTGTCATAATTATAACCTATACATGTATATTAAGCCTGCCGAAGGGTTTTTATTGGTTTCAGTTATGGTATATTTTCATCAATCCCAGAATATATAAATACTACATGATAAATTTGTACACCGAGAATTCACTAAAAATAGGTGCCTAAATTAGCCCAGGAGCAAGACCAGTACTTTCTACATTGCCAACTCAAGTTTTTACTGGTACATTTTGTATTTGGTGTAGTATTCTAGAACATACCATTCTGTTCTAGCCTGGGGGGGTTGGGTGGCCGAATGGTTAGCATGTGCGTGCTGTATCATAAGGTCTGTTATTGAGTCATCTGGCGTGGTTTCGAATCCCCGGTTGTACGTGATAAGGAGTAGGGTCGCCTGTCCAATCCCGTGGGTTTTCTCCAGGTCCTCCGGTTTCCAGAAAACCGGTACACGTATTTTTCCTAGCTTAAAATCACACTCACACATGCAAACCCAGGTAGATGCGTAATTAAGCTAGTGTAGTAATAAAATAACAATAAAGCATGATTGATCATAACCAATAGTCATACCTTTTCTATGGAAATGAAATGGGGTTTAATGTCCCACTGTTCTACTGCTACTGGGCTAATGCAGTGTGCTGTGAGGGAAATTTTGCCTGGGCAGCAATACTATGGCCTGTTCTTATTTCAAATCCAATTGTCAAGAGTTCTTTTAGGTGCATGCCAATGTGTCCCATATAAACAGGGGGGTTGGATGGCTGAATGGTTAGTACGTGCGCACTGTACCATAAAGTCTGTCAACTGGTGTGGTTTCGATTCCCCCCGTTGTACGCGACAAGGAGTAGGGTCACCGGGTCCTCTGGTTTCCTCCCACTGCTAAAGACCCCTACGCGCAAGCCAATTATTGAAATAAAATTAAACCATATGTTAGTCCCCAAATGACCTAGTTTGTGTCGAGTGGATGTTAAACCTCATTTCTCTCTCTCTCCCCCATATAAATAACTATACAGTATGTTGTCTCTTGCCAGGCCCTCTGTCTACATGTATATGTACATCAATGACAAGGGGGAACCACGCCAGAAATCCCATTGAACTTTCTCGGCCAACGCAGGGTGCCCTCAGGGTAAGCGAGCCAACGTCTTACTCACTGAACCACCTTGGCTCCCCTTTTCTATGGAATAACTACCACAGTCAATGAAATAATTAACAACATTCTTGTTTCAAAACCAGATCTGTAAATAATCAGTGAATAGAAACTTCTTCAGTATTGTCAAGCTTTGGTAAATAACGATATTATTATACAGAGAACTGACAGAGGCATCACAATTAATAATCTTAATAATTTCCAAGATGTAACAATCACATCATACATGTAAATAAACTTTCATTTAATTTAATTGTTTCAAATCAAAGCAGATTATAAATTTCATTGGGATAATTGAGGGAATATGATTATATATGGATGTAGGTTACATTGTACATGCAGTTTGTTGAGTACATGTACACGTATATTGCAATCTGAATATCAATGCAACAACATACGTAATATATTAGGGGATAAAAAATGAAATTGCGTAGTTTTCAATTGGGTGTAGCGATGGGCGTTATATTGTTGACAGAAATTTATTACTTTAATAATGATAAATTGTGCGCTTTAGATTAGGAGATGTATATACCTCTCAATATAAGTACATTTAGATCCACTACTTTACGTACATGTAAGAAAGTTTTTTGATTTTGATGTGTTTCGTATTACACCAGGAGCACTATAAACTTATATGATGACTTTTAAGTGCCATTTCCTGATGGGCTTGCATCAGTGATTAAGGATATCCCTCTTGTTAAATTGAGCTTCCTTTTCGAAATAGTATAACATGTAGATATGTACATGATCTATACGTGCGAAATTACAGCCAGGATTCCTAGATAGAGACTTGAGGCATTTCCAAATTTTAGTGCTAAAGGTGGCATAAGAGACCTCCCTCATTGTGAAGGATGAAGTCCCAGGTCAAATAGTGGGAGGATAAAGCATATTTGCCATTTTTGAAATCAAATGGTTAGACAGTTCAGAAAAGATCTTTAAGCTGACCTGACACACTACGATATTTGCTATGATAGCCTACAATTGGAAAAAAGTTGTAGTATGTGAGGATATCTGCATTGCCATACAATATTTTAGTGTACATGTACGGTATCCTATCTTGGAGTTATTGAACACATTCATAAATTTTAAATGGGATCATGAGTTTTCGTGACTTGATATTTGAAAATTACAGCATATTATATCAAGACTAATCACAGTGTGTTAGGGGAATCGTGCATTATGGTAGTAACATTTTGATATGATTTAATTGCTCTCAATTGATGTGCCTCTAGATCGATTCTTACAATGTACATGTACCTCCCAAATGGAAGAGAAATGGTGTATTATCCCATCCAGCACAGTTATAATTGGTGCATGTACGGGTTTTAACAAGTTTAAGTTATATACAATCAGTTCAATTGTAGCAATAACTTTTTAATCACGACAAAAATCAATTTCTCTGGGCCCTCTGGTTTCCCCTCACTGCTAAAGACCCCTACATGTACAATGTACCTGGAAGCAATTTATTGAAATAAGATTGTACCGGTACTTAGTCCCCAACATGACCTAGTTTGTATCAGATGGGCGTTAAACCCCATTTCTCTCTCTCCCTCTCAGAATATATTGAAGTTATATTAAACCATTTAAAAGTTTTGAATTAGTAACACAATAAAAGAATCTCAAAGAGTTGCCAATAGTGACTTAAACTTAAATCTCAAAGTGTTGCCAATAGTGACTTAAACTTAAATCTCAAAGTGTTGCCAATAGTGACTTAAAGGAGCTAAATCGCTAACATTTGGGATCTAGAAATTGACAAAAGTGGGTCGCAACGCATATAATACTGTAATATTAATGTATATAAACTGATTTACATTCAATGGTTTCCGTTTTTACTCCAATTTCAAATCAGTTATGTTCGGCGAAATAAGCCAGCAGTCTCAAGCGAGTGCAAATTTCTAGCGTCTGGTTATTCCAGTCTACATACGCCGTTTGATTTGGTGCAATGTGTCTAGCCTCGTCCCTTGAGTCTCTTGATACAACTGGGGCTGAAGCGCATTATGGTACACGATTCGTACCATGGTAAAATGTTTATTTTGTCTTAAATATTGGATATCAAAAGCCCATCTTTTTCCGGTAAGATCACAACATGAATGTTGATTTAATTTGACAAATAAATCGTGTTTTTAATGTTGAAGATTTTGGATGATATTGAGTTAGAGACTTAGCTACTTTAAACTTAAATGTAAATTAAATAGTTTAAAAACTGATAGTGTTAAATTTAAAAAGAAATGAAATGAAATGGGGTTTAACGTCCTACTGTTCTGCTCCTAAACTGGGCTAATGAAGACAGGCAAACGCCATACAGTGTGCTATGAGGGAAATTTTTGCCCGGGCAGGGGCACTATGGCCTACTCTTATATCGAATTCCAACTGCCAAGGGATCTTTTACGTGCACGCCAATGTGTACACGGGACCTTGGTTTTAAATTTAAAAAGAAACCGAAATGAAATGGGGTTTAACGCCCTACTGTTCAGACTGGGCTAATGAAGACGAGCCAACGCCATGCAGTGTGCTTTGAGGGAAATATTTCCCAGACCTTGGAACTGCGCACTACTCTTATATCGAATTCCAACTGCCTAGTGATCTTTTACATGCATGCCAATGTGTACACGGAACCACGGTTTTTCGACTCTTCCTAACGACTAGACAGCTGTCAGGCCCTCCATCCCGCACCACTGACAAGGTGAAACCACGCTGGAAAATCCTGATGAACTTTCTCAGCCAACACCGGGAGCGAACCTGCAACCTCCAGACTAGCGAGCCAGCATATTACGCACTTACATGTAGTCATCGTGCACCCTAAAAAGAAATAGACATGGGTTGCTAATGATTCTACACATACAGATAAATTAAAATAAAATAAATGGATCCCTTTGATTACATGAATGTCGAAAGAAGCATAGAAGTAAGATATTATTTTATGACTATAGCTACATGTACATGTATCACTGGATTGAATTACACAGAATTTATAATAATTGGTTCTAAGAATTATGATATATGTCCACCAATTAATGAATCTTGTAGGCTGTATTTAATCCTTGATTTTAAATTACCATATTAAAACTAGCCATTAAATCTTTTTTAAAGAGAAAACAGGAATACATAAAATGGTCTAATATAGGTATTTGGTATAAAACATGTTCATATACATGTAGATCAGTCATTGATATGGTGGAAGGTGTTTGATATCTTTTACCTGTCCATAACCAAATAATACTCTTTATTAAAAAAATTTAGGCATGTATCTGTACTGATAATGGGTGGGTGGGGCGGGGTACAAAGGTGGAAACACAATAATTATTTTGTTTGGCCTAAATACACATATGAATTCATAATTTCATATATTCACATGTACAAATATCAAATAAATTTTTTTGGGTGTAAAGCTTGGGCTTAGCTTGTTATTTAGATTTGGCAATCTTCCAGTCTTGTGTAACAGCTTGACTGCACACATAATAGGTAAAGATATACTCTGTGTAATGTGGGCCAATAAAAAGTATTTATAACTGTGAACCCAATAGCTATTTCTGACACTAGGTCACTGGCACTTTGCCCTCTAAACCAGCTTACAGTATACATGCATATGTAGTATGCTTTTGAGGTGAAAATAAATTGAGATATAAGCATAGATAATGAAAGGGCAATTTGCATAATAAAAGCTTTTTGAATTGGTCCTATATTTAGTTATCCAATAAATAAGAAAATCTTTTCCTTTGAATACTTGTGTTGGTTATTCGACTTTTTGAACAGACCAATCTATGGTACACCTGAATCCCGGTCAATGTCCTACTGCTGCCACAACTATACACTGGACCTTTAAATCAGGTTATGTGTTATGTACATGTGTATGTACATTGTACATGTACAGTACATGTACATGTAATGTATATTTGCCAGTGACCCATCAGTTTGTGGTTTTCTCTACATTGTATCTACATTTAGCCCTATCACATATATGTTCTGTTAAATGTACATGTACAATGTATGTCAAAGTGAACCTAGAATTATGCTGAATTTACATAAATATATGCTTGACCCACAATTGATTTTTTTTTATTTTAATACCCCCAAAACAGCATTATTTTTATTGATTAAATCAATTATTGGGATAGTGAGATAAAATAAACAATACCTGTCCATTGGTTTAAAATACATGTATTTCATTCTGCATATTCAGATCATTGTATATATATATTATCTACATGTAGGTATAGAAAATCTGTGAAAGATATAAAGGTCATTTAGATCATGTCATCTATATCGTAGATAGATGAAATAGATTAGTATCGTGATGTCACGTATACGTACATGCCACGAATCATATCTATTGACATGCAAAGATAAAATAGTTATTGTCCCCCGCCTTTCGAAGAAAGCAGGGGACTATTAAAATGGGTTCGTCCGTCTGTCTGTCTGTCTGTCCGTCTGTCTGACCGTCCGTCTGTCTGTCCGTCACACTATTTGGGACACAATAACTCTCTTCCTAATTGAGCTAGAATGTTCAAACTTGGTGTATGTGTTTATTAGGTCAATGCCTTGATGGAGTTCGAAGATGAGCATTTTCCGCTTAGGGTAAGCAGAGATAAGCAATTTGATTGGTTGATGCTTTGGGACACGATAACTCTCTTCCTAATTGGGCTAGAATGTTCAAACTTGGTGTATGTGTTGATTAGGTCAATGCCTTGATGGAGTTCGAAGATGAGCATTTTCCGCTTAGGGTAAGCAGAGATAAGCAATTTGATTGGTTGATGCTTTGGGACACGATAACTTTTAATTGAGCTAGAATGTTCAAACTTGGTGTATGTGTTTATTAGGTCAATGCCTTGATGGAGTTCGAAGATGAGCATTTTCCGCTTAGGGTAAGCAGAGATAAGCAATTTGATTGGTTGATACTTTGGGGCACGATAACTCTCTTCCTAATTGAGCTAGAATGTTCAAACTTGGTGTATGTGTTGATTAGGTCAATGCCTTGATGGAGTTCGAAGATGAGCATTTTCCGCTTAGGGTAAGCAGAGATAAGCAATTTGATTGGTTGATGCTTTGGGACACGATAACTTTAGTTCTAATTAAGTGAGATTGATGAAACTTGGTGTATAGTTTCATTACAGTAATACCTTGACTAAGTTTGATAATGAGCATTTTCTGCTCAGGGTAAGCAGAGCGATACGCAATTTGATTGGTCGAGACTTTGGAAAACAATAACTCTCCTACTTTGATTGTTAGACTATAAGTAAAGATATACTGTTTGATTGTTCAATACTTTGTAAAAGATAATTTGTGATAAATTTATATGTGTCCTCTAATTATTTTCCTATTTCGGCGGGGGACATCAGCCTCACTGTTGGCTTGTTTTCCTTGTAAAGCCTTTCTCTTCTAGATCATCCTATTAAGCAGTAACAGAACAAAAAATCTTAAGGCAATATTACATTCACAAAGGAATTAACATCATGAATTTAAAAGTGAAACAATTTCAACATAGACCTTACAAAATATTATGTTTGGACAATAATCATAATTGCTGGAAACTTAAAATAACAATCTTGTAAGCAGTATATGTACTACATGTACTTACATACATGTACATGTATTTAAAATAAACATACAGATATATACATGTATGTAGGAATATACACATCAGTTCGTTGAACCTTGTTCAAAACTTGCTCATTCTTAATATCAAACAGTGGGTGTTTTACACATGTAGAAATAATACTGCTCAAGGCTTTGTTGGTGTATATATTCTTTTCCCCGTAGGCACTGAAATTGTTCTCGCCATAAGAGTAATTTTCTCACCTTTGTGAACTGAATATACACAGTCATTGACACTTTGGTAGGTTTTTTATAACTTATGTCATGTGATTGTTCAGATACTTTCATGATAAGATTAACGGTACAATGTAGCTTAAAGAAGTCGTATATTTATTCCCTGTGTCAGGCATCCGGGTGCCTCGTGGACCTCAACAGAAGATTTTAAACCCACCCATCAGAAATTCATGATGCAAGAGCACTTTTAATATCAAATTTAGGTCAAGCATAATAATGATAAAAACTATTATTAAAAATTCTTTCAATGGAGAAAATGATATGCTTGTATCTGCAGGCCAGGTTGATAAAATCTTACATGTATTTCAATGCACTTAAAGTACAATGTGGTTGTAGCCTCCACGAATGGATATTGGAAGGTTATGGTATATGGTAAAATAGATAGTTTTTGACAGTCGAAGGGGGAGGGGTCATGGCGCAATGGCCATCAACTAAATATACCACCGGTAAGACATGTTATTGCAGCTGTTGCACCAACATATGTAAGCTTAATTCTCTTGTACACGTGGCATCACTAATGACTGGATCAGACATAAAAGGGTTACTTTTCCATGGAAGAAAATCGATACATGCTAAAACATTTGAATATCAAAACCATTGTTTTAAAAAATTTTATTTTTTTTTTATTTTAGAGATTTTTGCGGACCCATACGAGGGTTACTATGATTCAAATCAACTGATGCCCACAATGTGTTTTGATGTGTTTGGTGGTAGTACCATGATGGAGGATGCTAGGTTAGCGGTAGCTTTTTCCCAGGAGGAGTCATCGCAGTCCTCATCTGTACTATATCCCCATATGACTACATCATCCCCATCTCAACATGAAGCCCTTTCTCGGAGTCCCAGTGTCTCTTCAGATGGAGGAAAGGTAAATAATTTCATAATTGGGTCTTGTATTTCGAAAGTACATGTACATTGTATATCAACAACCGTTATTACTCACCCTATATATATAGATATACATGTAGCCTATATTTAATCAAAAGAAATCTGAAATAATTTCATAATTAAGACTTGTATTTCATTATTATATCGACAACGTTGTATTTTTGATCCAAAATTTAACTGTTACTGAGGTGTATTTTAAGATAAATGTCGATTAATGTAAATATTAGTATGCCAAAAGTGCAATGCTCTTTTTATATTGTCATGAAATACAAATTATGAGGAACCATAATTTATTTGTACTTCAGTGCTAATATGTTGCATAAAAACCTCTCTTTTCCACTGAAATTATGGTAATAATAATGTCATTTTTTTACAGCCATTATTTAAGCCACAGTATACAGCCGAGTTAGATGTCTTATGTCGCATATGTGGTGATAGAGCATCTGGTTTTCACTATGGTGTACATTCATGTGAAGGTTGTAAGGTATGTATAAAGCTATTGAATTGAAAATGTAATAAATGGGGAACTAAAATTAAAAGAACATTTTTCAGGTAGTCCCTCCCCCCTTAATGTTATACTAACGGTAATACACTGGACTTGGGTATTTAATTCCATGTTCATTCCATGAATAGACAATTTTCATAACAAGGTTTTCAAATTTGCACCAATGACAAGGGGTTTGGAAAGCCAGGTGAACTTTCTTGGCTACCACGAGATTAACCTCAAGACTTGCTAGGTAGTGAGCCAGCAACATACACACCATAGTTCCTTCAATAAAGAAAATACAAATCTTTTTTACAAAATCTGGAAATGAAACAATTATTATTATTCCATATTTGTTCCTGTTACATCTACATGTATCAAATGATGTAGCAAACTGCTTGCAGCAGTTGTAGTAAAATGTCGTGGATTGTGCGTATATTATATCTTTGACTTAATCAATAAATTAACTGACTACTTCTGGCTATGCAGCTCTAAGCTGTAACAAAAACACACTTTAATAAATGATATTCCTTTATTATCTGGGTGTGGCTGCGTCATAAGATAATAAGGTGATATGTAATAAAGGAATATACATTGCTGTAAGCAGATAGTTATTTATGAAATTGTCAACTCAACCTTTTTGAACATGGACAACAGGAGTGCACACATTATCTTAATATTGTGCAGAACAAAATGTCAATTTATTATGTGCATTTACATGTACCAAAAGAAAGAAGCAGGAGCATTAGCAAAACCGAACATCAAGCCCAAAACAAAAACATGATATATGAATTTTTATTAAATCGTTAAACACATATTCAGTATATACATGTATGGTCTATAAATTTATTATGTATTATTTTACAGGGATTTTTCCGGAGAACATTAAAAAAGTCTTTAGTTTACAAACCATGCCAAATGGGATCACAATGTAAGATAGATATGGGTACAAGAAACAAATGTCAATACTGTAGATATCAAAGATGTTTGAATGCTGGTATGTCACAAGATGGTAAGTAAGATAATATTTACAAATCATGGTTATTTTATTAAATTTATAATTATTTGCACAAAATATATGATAATATTAGTCATACTGGTGTATGAAATATATATTTATTGATCAATAAACTTGTACTAAGCCCACCTGTTCATTAATTTTGTTTTAGCTGTGAGGTTTGGTAGAATGCCGAAAGCGGAGCGAGAAAAATTGTTGGCTGATAAAGAAGAGCTTATGACTACCTGTGGTAAAAGAATTGTTGAACTAAGATCACTTACAGATCTAATTAAAGCTGCATTTAGAGACATTTTCATCAACACCATATTCTTTGCACGAGAAAACTCAAGGGCTATGATTTTTAACCAATCAGAGGGACAGGTAATATTATAAAATATTTCTATAATCGGTTTTGGGTTGAAGTGATGTTACTCCTTGTTCGCAAAATTCAAATGTACATAAAATTGTTTTGTCTAGAGAGTAAAAATTGAAGATAAATCTACATATACATGTATATCCCATCATGTGTACACATATTTCATTTGAATGAATTTTTTTTGTTTTTTTTTTCCTTCAGTGTGTAAATTATGATGACTTAATAGTGGTAGAATGTTTGAGTTCTGAAGAATTTTTTGAAAAAGGAATATTTACTCAGTATCAGGAATTAATTGTTCCTGTCTTGGAAGCCAGTGTTAAGTTTGCTAAAAAATTACCGGGCTTTACCAACATGTCAATGGCCGATCAAATTTGTTTAATGAAAACTAATGGATTTATGGTTGTTCAAATAGCTGTAAGTATTTTATAGCAACTAAATAAATAACAATATATAAACTAATTTTGAAAATGATTGTAAAATCTTGATTGTGGTGGTAAAATCTTGATCAAAGTGGTAAATACTTGACCAGTGTGGTAAAATCTTGACCAAGATTGTAAATTCTTGATCATGATGGTACATTGTAAATCTGGAACATGATGATGGAAATTTTTAAGATTATTGTAAATTGACTGGAAATTGTTTCATTTTACACATATTAAACATACAATATACAAAAAAAAGAAATACATTTAGGTCTAAAGTATAGTCAAGATACAAAATCCAACGGGGAAAACCTCCCAACAAATGACACTCAGTACTGACTGCATAATATTTCATGACACCCCATTCTACCCCATGTCATTCAAATATCAGTACCAGTGAGCTGTATATATACAAATGTACTCTAATTATAACATTATTTGTGGTAGGATTTTTCAAGAAAAAAATAGCCAGCCACATTAAATGGATACATGTAAACCATATGAATTTTTAAAAAAACTTTTCTGCAAGGACATCATTCTCTAGAATAAAACATAGATACAAGTAGCAATCAGTGCAAATGTACAACACAGTACTCTCATACCTAATATATCAAAATTCTGTATTTCTATTAACTAAGAGCAGTATAATAAAACTGATGAGTTATCTGTTATGCATGAAAGTGTTATTTTGACATAAATATTCTAATTTTACCATTTGTCATAATATTGTCAATCAAATCATGTTTGACTTTTTTTATTTGCTGTGATATATCTACAAGCTCTGGTCGTTAATGTCTGTCAACATTCAGATTTTGATGGCTCTGTCTGTGTTTGAGATTTTTTTTCACCCACCTCCTCTAAGTATAGTTCAAAAGCTGAATTAATTACCTTTCCATGTCATATCTTTACTAATAAGGTTTCACATGTTCTTTTATAAAAGGTGATAGTGTTGACAACAGATGCCTTTCCAACCTTTATACGACTTATCTATTCATGGTTGTTTTCAAAACAATAAACTTACATTATTTACCATATATTGGTACAGCAATATCAATCAGATACACGTCATAGGAATACAAATTTGGAGAGTTAGTTAATAAAGGTTTCGGGTTCATGTATAAATAGAGTGTTCCAGAAAGGCAATCTGATTGAAAATTGTTAAGATTTATTGTATACAACACTAGGTGCATGTACATGTATTCATTACTGCACAGAGAACCCTATATAGATCCTGCATACATGCAGCTACATGTGATACACATGTACATTTGCTTGATCCCCATGATATAGAGTCCTCCTTGCAATAATTTAAAACTGATAATTTTATTCACTATTTGCTATATTTATAACAAGGTGTGTGTTATACATTTACATGCATATGCTCTACCAATAAATTTAATTTCTTCTTTCATCTATTCATAGACATATTTAACACATTTTTTAATACATTCTGAACATTTAAAACAATAAAGAAACAATTTCTGTGATTTATGATTTATGTATGTTGATACTTTTGAAAATTGGGTCTGTAACAATATACCAGTGTATTGTGATATGTACATGTACTATATGTCTAAAAACAAAATATTATATGTTACACCAAATTAAACAATATAGTGTGATATGTTATACTTAATTAAACAATATATTGTAATATATTACACTTAATTAACAATATACTGTGTAGCATGCTACACCTAATGAAACAAAATATTGTGATATATTACACTTAATTAAACAGTATACTGTAACATGCTACACCTAATGAAACAATATACTGTAACATGCTACACCTAATGAAACAATATACTGTAACATGCTACACCTAATGAAACAATATACTGTAACATGCTACACCTAAGGAAACAATATATTGTGATAATGTTAAACCTAACTAAACAAAATATATTTTGTTTTTGTTATGATAGAATAGTATTATTCTAAATTGCACAATGAAAAATACAAGGTACTTTTTAGTGCACTGACTCAACCTTTTTTCTTTTCTCTTGTGCTCATTAATACAGTTATTTGTCAAAAACACACATTTTTCAAATAGCAGGTGCAATATGCCCCCCAGAACAATAGTTACATGTATAAAGAGACTTCATTGGTTTACACTAGGTTACAGCCATAAATCAGGATATCAAGCAAAAATATAACTGGGACTGAGTAACATTTTATATGTACACTCTACAGACCACAATTATCATCTGATCCGATTCATTTTTAAAAATGTTCTTCTTTATTATTTTTTTCAGCTTCATATGCTTATAGATAAGGACTATATTAATTTTGTGTCCAGAAGAAATGCTTTTCGACTTAGTCGTCTCTCACCGTATCTTTGTACGGAGATTCAGAAATTACTAGAAAGAACTATATGTGTTGGAGATAGACTACACAATATGCAGCTTACTGCTGGAGAAATTGCATTATTTTGTGGAATTTTATTAACTTCAGGTGAGTGTAGAAAATGGATTAATTTATTATAGAAGCTGATAAGGAGAGAGGTGCAAAATGACGCAAAATCCTTCTTTAAACACTTGAAAGACGTCATAGCAAAACCTTGTTTAAACACAGTGAAAGATGCCACAGCAACATCAAGATCAATCTAGTTTTGTTTTTTTAAAACATGCTATACAAAAAAAGCCCATTTTAAGCTAAAACCAGTGATTAAACTGAAATACAAATGGAGAAATTTCCGGTTCCTTTGTCAATTAATATTGGTTGCGATGGGTTACAAAACAGTTATCCAATAAACACAGCCAAACTGTTAAAAGGTCTATCAATAATTGCTTCTCCTCTATTTTAACTTGTTTTAAGCTTGTATGTACTAATTGTCCCCCGCCTTTCGAAGAAAGCAGGGGACTATTAAAATGGGTTCGTCCGTCTGTCTGTCTGTCCGTCTGTCCGTCCGTCTGTCTGTCCGTCACACTTTTTGGGACACAATAACTCTCTTCCTAATTGAGCTAGAATGTTCAAACTTGGTGTATGTGTTTATTAGGTCAATGCCTTGATGGAGTTCGAAGATGAGCATTTTCCGCTTAGGGTAAGCAGAGATAAGCAATTTGATTGGTTGATGCTTTGGGACACGATAACTCTCTTCCTAATTGGGCTAGAATGTTCAAACTTAGTGTATGTGTTGATTAGGTCAATGCCTTTTTGGTTGATGCTTTAGGACAAGATAACTTTGATAGAGAGTGATGAAACTTAAGTGTATAGTTGATAATCAGTTTGATTGCTTGATACTTTAAAAAAAATAAATGTGCGATAAATTAATGTGTCATCTATTTATTTTGGTATTTTGGCGGGGGACATCAGCCTCACTGTTGGCTTGTTTGTTTTAAAGTTTAAATACTTATCATACTTAAAGATACATTATAGGAGATTAGATAAAGAGTTGGCAATTCTAACTATAATAGTTAAAAACTAGATAATGTAAAGAGAATTTGCTGAAAATTTCAGTCAAATTGATCAACTCTGAACTGAGATTTTAGCAATTGAATTCTCGACCTAGCCACAATCATTATTACTAAAATCGGTACGATAAAAACCATAGTCTAGATTATCCATTTCATGATTAAATCAAGAATCGAAGTGGAGAAGCAAATGGTATCCTAATCCAGTAACATCGTAGGCTAGCGTTGACATTGATGGTTGATTATGGTCTGGACAAGTTAATTAATGTCTAAATAATAATTTAGATAACATTTCAGTCCTAAAGAAAGACTTGCAATAGGCAGATTTAGCTTTTGCATAATGTATGTTTAAAGTCTACTTTTTAAAATGCAACAATTGGGAAAACCTCATTGCTATAGTATAGAAGACAAAACAAGAAATTCTTTCTGTGAGGGGGCTTAACTATTTTCTTCTGTGGGTATGAAGATATGTTATATATATTATCTTTTCTTTGTATTCTAGAATGTCCAGGATTACAAAATGTCCACCAAGCCGAACAAGTTCAAAGTGATTTGATTGATGCTTTACGTCTTGAATTGAAACATAATCATCCAAAAGATAAACTCATGCTGCCAAAACTTCTAGTGTTAATTCCAGACCTGTGCCAAATAGTTGACGAATTTTCAAGGAATCTTCAAAACCATCTGTTCGATCACAGTCACAACTTTTCCAGTGTTCAGCCATTATTACAAGAAATATTTGATATCGAGGCGGTCAAAAATAAGAATGCTTAAATCCGACAGATGTGAGGATGTACCTGAAGCTGAAATACAAGTTGTCCATTTCACTCCAAAAATATTTGACATCCTTTAGGTTGATTTTCAAATTAGACATTTTGACAAGAAGTGCATCTATTGCTATAAAGATCTACATTGAAGATATTTTGAAATGTTTGTGATTATATGCAGAACTAGTAGGTGGTGGGTGAACCCTTGAAAAATATTTGTGCTCGTTAGTTTGAACTTCTACCAAGTGCATTTCAAATTGCATTGAAGAGGAATCTTAAGCATAAAAAACAATTTATATGTGTTCAAGAACACATAAATCGGCAATATATATTTTTTTTTTTTGTATTTTCATAAGACATATGACTTGCGAAGTGTTCATAAAGTTAATTTCAACGAGCTGAGAAAGAATTTGGTATGAAGTATATCTGCTTTTATGATATATAAGCTCTTTCCTGAAATCATGTATAGTTTCCAAGAGGTCCATGTATCCCCCAGTTATGATGTTATGTGTTCAAAATAAGATATAGATATATTTTACCTAGGTGGCATCTGTTAAATTTTATTTAATTGTTATTTTCACCTATATAGTACATTTATATTATTAATATTATGATGAATTATGGTACCTAAATATAGTTCTGTAATTTAATATCTGTATGTATGTTATCTTATATTTACATGTATATATATATATATATATATATATATATTGTTTGTTTATTATGCCCAAATTTTAATGTTCACTGACTTATATTAGTTTTAACAAATGATTGTGTTCTAAATGGGTTTCACAAATATGTACAGATTTATGAAATGTGTAGGAGTATATTTTATTATTAATATATTAATCAGACTGTTGGTCTCTAAAAATGACACGTAAAAAATGACATTCATGTCTCATGAAGGTCATTAAAACATACCTACATAAAAATGTAAATAGCATTGTGGTTAATAATCATATAATATTATATGTGACAAAAGTCATAGGGTTAAGAACATTTACATGTGCCATTGTGTATAACACATAAAGTTGGTTATATAATGCACATGTACGTACCAGTAATACATATTATAGCGCATTCAGGAGTGTTCCATTTCTTAATTTTGTTCATTAAAGTGCATTCAGTAGTAATCAGTTTGTTAATTTGAATTAAATAAATCTTGATTTCTTGTCCTTTTAGCTTTTACATTTACCAGAATGAAGTCAAGCATGTTTATTTCAGTTTATATAAGATTTTTATGCTCAAAAAAAGATGTTTATTTTTCCCCCACCTCAATTTTGGTAGTTTAAAAAACAAAATAATTTGCTCTTTTTTCATGTACATCTAGATCTGCTATTTATTTTGTATAACTATCAATTTGTATTTAATCTAGCCGACACATTACATATGTTTCATTTATATCCAGCAGATAACCTATTTCATTTTGTTTTAATCTTAGCAAGGTCAATATTACCGGTGCTCATTAGTTACTATAACAATGGATGGATATCTATTGAATGGCATGGAATGGTGTTTAATGTCTTGGTAATTTTTAGACGAAGATATGGGAGAATTGACTATGAAATATTGCTCATATCGCACAGTTTGATACGTAGAACTACATGTAGCTACAATTCAATTTGCCAGAGTACCATGGTAAACAATTACTGTTGAGATAACATATGTGATGTAACAATTTGATCAATTAGTTCAGTTTGCCAGAGTACCATGGTAAACAATTACTGTTGAGATAACATATGTGATGTAACAATTTGATCAATTAATTACAGTTCAGTTTGCCAGAGTACCATGGTAAACAATTACTGTTGAGATAACATATGTGATGTAACAATGATCATCTAATTACAGTTCAGTTTGCCAGAGTACTAGGGTAAACAATTACTGTTGAGATAACATTATTATTATGTGATGTATGAATTTAAACAATTTTTTAGGAGTGCCCTGAATACGTTTATCTTTTCACATCATCCTTATTCTGTATAGCTCTAAATATACAGACACAGTGACATAAAATGGCAAATTTTTAACATCAGCATTTTCATGTAATAGATGTTTAATCTTAAATAGTGTGTTGTTTTTAGACATATATTCTTTAGGTTCATTTCAAGTTTGTCTCAAGTTTTTGTCCCCCTTTTGAGTTCGATCTCAAGTCCTTGTTAATGTGGTGCAAGTATAATCATGATTATTCTATTAACACCCAAAAAATATTAATTATGGTGTTTCAGTGAGACATAAGTGTATATTTTAAGGTTAATTAATTAACATTTAATAATATGTTATTATATAAGTAATATATCTATATTGGCTCAATAAATGTGCAATAGATGCGGTCATTGCTTATATATACCGGTTATTAGGTTATTTAACGTGCCAGTTATAAGTTATATAGTGCTAGTTTTATTTACAATACTTGAATTTAATTGATTATTTACTGCTACATTATTTACCCCAAATACCAAACTACACGGGGCTAGGGCTCCTTAATTTAAGTCAAAATAAAGTGCTGAATTGGTTTGATCAAATGTGTTCTTTTGATTAGTGAAGTAGATGCTCTATACTATTTAATTGTTGTTTCAAAAGATTAAGTGGAAGTCAATTTTTATTATTTTGGCTTATTTTACTCTATTGCAAGATGTCTGGTCATTTTAAATATAAGATCATAAACAAATGAAAAGTGCACTCCCCTAAAACACGTAAATTGCACAAAAATATTCGAAAATACTAATTCTACGTGGCCATTTGGTGCTGACATGTTGTCATTTAAAACAATATTTATTTCTGAAATCAATTCCTTGGATGCCTGACTGGCATTTATTCAGTTAGATTGTAATGACCTTTTTTTATATTGAAAAAAATAAGTTAAATAAAATTTAACTTTTAAGATATTACTGAACCAACTGTTAGTTTGGGGATGTATTACATTGAATGAACCAGGTCTTTCCCCCTTCCCCCCTTTGGCCCTGAAAGGAATGTTAAAAATTTAATCAATTAAATTTGTGTTATGTAAATAGTATATTAGTGTGTTTATTGTAACCAATTTGTACTAAAAGTTTCTTTCAGAAATAATCATTGATGATAAATTATATGTATGTTATTCATTTTATGTTTTTTTTGTTATATTTTTAAATGACATATATTTATATTAATATTTGTTATTTTTGTCAAAAAAATGGATGAATATTCCCAGTGATTCATTAAATTTTATCATTGAAAACATTACTGCGTCATTTAATATATTATACAGTCAGTGCATTACATTTTCCTTGATTATGGTTTCATATATATGTAAAATACATATATACATACACTTACTGAATTTCTCTCAGTGTTTTACACTCCTTAGTGAAAATTGCAAGGGGCATGTAGATTATACATTGTTTATTTGTAATTTAAAAAAACTGCTATATATTATCAAAATCTAGTTAAGAACACTATGTGTTCAATGGTTTTTTGAAAAAGAAAAAAAACAAACAATTTTACAAAAAAAAGGGGAGAGTAAAACCCATATTTGCTTAAAAGTTCATGTTATTTTATACATATATAAAAGTGATATTTTGAAGTGCTATGATGTTATTTAATACTGATAGTGCTATAATGTTATTGTATAGTGCTAAATATTGTTATTGTTTATTAAATCATGTTATTCGTTCATTGTAAATATAAATTGTTGACATGCTGTTAATTATAGAGGAAGATAAGAAATATTACATATTATTAATGAGTAAAACTTGATACATACCGGTGTCGTACAGTTGCATGTACATGTAGTCATAATTTGAATTTTAATTAAAGATACAATATGTAAGATTTAGATAAAGAGCTAGTCATTCTTGCTATAATAGTTCGAATATAGATAATGGTAAAATGAATATTTTGGAAATTTTATTCAAATTACTCTATTGTGAGCAAAGATAGCTCTGGCATAATGTATGTTTAATATTTCATCTTCGCAAAACGGTACTAATAACAGAGGATAAATAAGCCAGTATAACAATCAAATACAGAATGTTAACCCAGTCATTTATTTGTTCAAATTTTATGGAATTGGATATGGTTAAATATTAATCAGAAAACATTTTCTCAAAATTTTACATTAAAAGCTTCTTTATTCATAATTTTGTTTTGAAGAACTAGTTACATTCTAATATCAAATTCATAGTCATTGACTGTATATATACATTTTATTTTAAATTGTTACATAGTTATCTTATTAGAAAAGTAACAAATTGAAGGGATTTATGACACTGTTAAATGATTGGTTTTAGTATATGTAAATATAGATGTTTTTCTACTATTGTAATACAATAACTGGTTATGTCCCTTAGTGTTAGGTGATGTAAGTGTTGAAATACCTTATTTACATTTTGACTGACTTCTCATCCCATAATGCTTGAAATTAATCAGAGTACAGTTTCATAAAGATTTAAAGAAATGAAGTATATAAAGAGCTAAATTCATGAAAATGGCAAACTTATATTTAATGGCTGGGGTGGTTTATTTTATCTTTTGAATGGCATATTTTTCATGAGAATGTAGTCATTTATTTATTCTCATTTAAGGTTAGGAATCTAGAATACTTAAATTCACTCATTTATTTGGAATGATGCCTCCAGTTATAAGACTTATGGATCAAGAGATCTTTTGTAAGAGAGAATGTGCCTCTCCAGGTCCCCAGGAAAAAAAACTTTGAATACAGTAACTTTATACTGTTGAATTTTAGTTAAATCATATGTTTACGAAAGACCATTTATAAATGATTACTTTTAAATTTACTAGGAATCCAGAATTGTGGGGGCCGTTGCTGAGAGAGACGATATACATTTACTCCATCTTTATATTTTGTATAAATGTTAAGTTAAAAAACTAAGAAATGAGTGGACAGATTTATTAAATATTTTATGATTATTTGGCATTTCCCCAAACTATCTTTTGAAAACTTTCAATTTGGAAGGTTTCATAAATTAATTTCGAGAGCCATCTTGAAATTAAACTAAAAAAGTTTTTCAATTTTAAGTTATGAATTAGTGTTGTTAAAGCA